CATCCACCCCACACGCTAGTGGTGGAGGTGTACAGTTAACTTAAAAGATGCTGATGTTTTATCCCAGCAGTGGGTGGACCAGCATTTTAGCTTAAGGTCCGCGTAGGTAATATTCCTACAAATCCTTTAAAAAAAAGGCCTTCCTTGACTAAGCAGTAGTCATCATGCTGCCATATAGCCCCACCGTTTGCACAGTCTGGCCCCAGGTGAACTGACGACAGACTGATAGCCGACAGCCACCGGTGAAAGATAAATGAAGAATTAGAGGATGAAAAACAGTTGGAGAATATGTGTTCTCCGCCCCCTCCCCCCCACCTACCTACGGGAAGACTTCCCTTTTGAAACGAAAGAAAGTGCAAACGTGCCTTGCTAGGAGTTCCAACTATGTCTCTCTGCAGGTGTCACTGCAAGTGTAGAAAGAGCAGGGCCGATACATCGGAGCCAGCGAGATGCACGATGTATCTAAAAGGTGCTTTTGGCACAGTGCAGGTTGAGAATGTGTTTTTGTTTGCATGCAGATGGAATATCAGAAACGTCATCTTAGAGTTGTGTGCGAACAACTTTCTTGCTCCCCATAAGCGCCTCCAACCAAAGCCGCCACGTGACCTGACGGCAAGGATTAACAAATGTGTGTCCGTGACACTCCACCGTCAGCAGTGGCGTGAACTCCAATCAACACATCTCTGTGCTGATCTTCAGTCACCATGAGGATGTGAGGTGATGTGAATTTAGCTGCAGAAACTAGTATACATCAAGGTGCTGTGTAGACATTATTTTGTTAGGAACTCTGTGAGAAAACTTTGTGGTATTATTTTCAGATGACGTGAGTGAAAAACACTGAGGTCCATTTATTGTACTTCCCGTAATACTAAACTTTATTACTTTATGTTTGTCTTGTGCTACATATGAGTGATTATCTCTACTTTATTTCCCTTTATGATAGTTTTCCCTTTTTACTCTATCTCTTAATCTAATCCTTTCATTATTTTACATCCATATCCATTATTTAAATTCCTGTAAGATCTAAAATTCTCTCGACTTTCATTCCATAATCATGATATACTATTACCATAATATGATTCCCATTTTGATATCCATCGATTTAACAATACCCATTATTTCCTATTAGCGTCCATTATTTTAATCCCTACGAGACACCCTCCCCTTGAACTCTAATCCCATTTGTGAAACACTTAACCATTTTTTTTTCAACTTGGCATCCATTATTTTTTTTTATAATTTCCATTTTTATATCAATCACTATTACACCAACTCCTTATTCCCCCATCACTCCTTCCTTACTGGACTACAGGGGTTTGTTTTGCTGTTTCATTTTACTATAAGACGTACTGAAGTTATATGTTTACTAAGGTATTTAAGGTCGTATTCTATAGGTGAACATATACACTAAACATCCACAACTGTATCTTAAGACTGATATATGAATATTTTTTTTAGGTTACCTTGAAATTTTTAGGTAATTTCTTCATGATTATGTATATTAATTAGTTATATCTGTATTAATGTGTATGTGTAGTATGATAGTATAATTTGACCAGATTTGTTGTACTTCTAAAGGATTGGGTAATGTATGTATGTAGTGCATGCGTCCAGAGGTTAATATATAAGTGTATATTAATGTTCTCGTATTTCAATAATAATAAAACAAAACTTAAAGAATAAGACTAAAATACTGTATTGTAATTTCTGAAACAATATTGGAAAATTAATAATAATAAAGTATTTTGAATCATAATTTATTCATGGAAACAAATTAACATTGTATGGTAATAGTAATGGTGGTGACGGGTCCAGCCTGGCGAGGAACACTACCATGGTGACTCACTGCTGTCATGGTGAGTCTTATCTGTCTACTTTAATATAGATACCATGCTGTTCACTTTCAAACAAACAGATCACATGACAATATATAACAGAAAATATGACATCACATAACAGGTCACGTAACGTCACATGATAGGTCACATGATATCACATAGCAGGACAAGTGACATCATTTAAAAGGTCACACAATATCATAGAACAGGTCATATGAAATGTCACAGAACATCACATAAGAGGTCACACGACACCACATAACAGGTAACGTGATAGGTTCCTTAAGCACATGACAGATGAAGTGACATCTCGCATGACACGGTAGACGGCATCACCCCATGGTAGGTCATCGTGTACTGTCCATCAAGGCCATGAACAACTTGTCACTCACACTCTCACATCACCCTGAGCTCCATCACTCATCTCTGGCCAATAACATATTTTCTAACTGATCAATTAATAAATAACTACAATCTCATCTTTAATCTTCAAGGAAATACACATCCATATATATATTTAAGATACAGTGTACCTCAGTATAATCTGTGCTACTACGACACCTTAACCAAGTCCCAGACATATTTCGCCACAGTTCAAGTAAGACCTCGTCACCAACACGTCGCCAAGCTTATAGAACATCACACGATCCTACAAACACGTCACTCTACCACCTCTGAGTCTAGAATAGTTGGTTCACAGATTGTCATAAGCACTAAAGGAACTTATTGGCGTTAGACATTGGTACAAGACATAAAGAAACTGTTTACCATGAAATAGTTACTACAACCTCGTGGGAATTACAGCCTCCTGGACTTGGTGTTGGCCACGTTCACAAAGACTTTAACTGTTGTATACAAAGTTACTATCAGAAGGACCCACACACCTCTATATAATAATTATAATCTACGTAACATAATTTGTTGGGTAGGGCTCTGCTGAAGGGCTCCTGCTGCTGTTGGACATACCTGCACCCACCTGTTGAGAGCTACTGTACTGTCAGTCACCTGCTAGACGGGTACGAGGCCAATCAGTTAACTATCCAGTAACAACAGACAGCCTCCATCAGAGCAGAATAACCAAGATAAACTTATAATAAACTAAGATCACAACACTGCACCGAAATATTTGGCACCGCTTAACCTCACAACAACGTCGCTGACACAACAACAAATTCACAATGAGTTCTAGTCCACACCAAACCAGCGTCTAGACAGGTTTTAAATTTAATAAAAGAAATCATCTTCAAACTCATTCAGCTGCTTTACACATTAGATTAAGCAGTTACGGATCTGTCAGGAAATTTGGACTTTGTTAATCAATGAAAATTAAATTGTTGTTTGATAAATAAGAATTAATGAGTTGTAATTAACCTGACATCAATTATATCCAATCTAGAACAATGTATATACCTGCTTGGCCGTCTGATGCGATAGTCTCTTTGATTGGATGCTGGATCAAGGATCAAATATATACTGTACACTGTTCACTATGTCACCGTTGACGCCACCGTTCAAAGTTCAAGCCATCGATGAAGCATAATGAACGGTGCCACCAGTCAGGTAGTCAAACCTGATTCACATTCAAAACACCTCAATTTAATGGGAGAGAGTGCCCCCTCAATCACTGGGTATTTATCATATAAAGATATAGAACATACTTAATAAATCTATGAAAGACAATCTAAACTATTTTATATTTAAGTAATAAGAGTAGGGGCGGATCGGGCACCTGGAGGTCAGGAAAATTCTCTTGGTACCTGCAAGAAATCCCCTAACGTACAGACAGCCAATCCGCCCCCTGAATAAGGGGGTACTTTTTTAAACACAATACGTGCTTCAACACATCACGTCTTGTGTCGACGTGTTGCAAGAAGGTACAGCAAAATACAGCATGGTCATGATGGTAACAACAGATATATACACAAAGCATCAGCGACTATGCCTGTCACGCCTTATTATAATATAGCTTCCCAACTGGGCAAGATGATAGGTAATAAAGGAGTAAGGGAAACTATTCCACCTCGTTCATCTTTGAGAACTTGTCGCCACAAGTCATTTATAGTTACTCGGGGCATCACCAGTGAGGTGCCGTCATGGCCAAACACCGACCATTCCTCTCATTGTCTCAGGATTTCCATCATACAAATTTAAGATTCCGTGTAAAATTTTGTGAATTGAAGTTCACATGCTGTGTTTTCCAGTAATGTCCCCAACTTCAAGCAAGGCTACAAATAACATCTACAGATAGACTGAGTAAAAAAAAAAAAGTTTTTGGTATATTAGTTTACAACACTATCAGGAACTATTATTGGCAAACGAATCTTTTTAGTAATCATTGTATTGAGGTGTACTCCACACCTCAGCACAACAACACTCGACTCTGATAGCAGAAAAGACTCGTCCTTTTACATTCATCAATAAGTACAAATTAAGTTCAAAGAAGAATAAATAAACTCTAATTTTGGTGTCGTTGATAAACATTTATATATATCTTAATCTGAAGTATGTTTGGTTAATTTTTTAAGTCACATATGAATCTCCATTGTAAGTCATGGTAGAAAGGTATAAAAACAAAAAGAAAATAGAAAGTCGATAGTTCCAAGTAGTAAATTTGTGAGGAGGGAACACACAGCAAGAGGAGAGAAATAAGATAAAATAACAAAAACCATACATAAAATAATAACTCCCACCTTACACCCTTTTTAAAATATACTGTACTGGACAATTGGGAGACAGGGTTATCTCTCTCATAACATCTACCAGAGGATTACCCCACCGACGTTGCTCTGGGTTTGACACACTTTGCCATTTTTAGATCATCGTAGTGTTTTTTTTCTTCTCTCCCTAGAGCTCCTAAGTGCTTAATCTATTGCTATTAGTGCATCTTAAGTGCCAGGAACTCTAAGGTAATGTGTAAAGCTTTCTAGTGAATCATTTAGTTCACTCCAAAATTTTCTATCAACACTTTATAGTTAAGAAAGAAAATGTTGTAAGTTGTTTCTTCATATGCGCTCCAACTTAATCTCACAAGAAATCAGTACTGCAGCTGTCGTAGGTCAGAGCTGCAGCTGTGGGAAGTCAGTGCTGCAGCTGTGATAAGATCAGTGTTGCAGTTTTGGTGGGTTAGTGCTGCAGCTGTGGGGAGTCAGCGTTGCAGCTTTGGTGGGTCAGTGATGCAGCTGTGGTAGGTAAGAGCTGCAGCTGTGATAAGTCAGTGTTGCAGCTGTGGTAAGTCTGTGCTGCAGCTGTGTTAAAACAGTGTTGCAGCTTTGGTAAGTCAGTGCTGCAGCTGTGGTAAGTCAGTGATGCAGCTGTGGTAAGTCAGTGATGCAGCTGTGGTAAGTCAGTGATGCAGCTGTGGTAAGTCAGTGTTGCAGCTGTGGTAAGTCAGTGTTGCAACTGTTATAGGTCAAAGGTGCAGCTGTGGTAGGTCAGAGCTGCAGGTGTAGTAATTCAGTGTTGCAGCTGTGTTAAGTCAGTGCTGCAGCTGTGGTAGGTCAGTGCTGCAGGTGCGATAGGTCAGTGCTTCAGCTCCTGTGCCCACACAGTCTCTGGCCAGCCTGTCCTCCCTCGGCGCTTCTCCAGCGTGCTTCCCTCGGTGGTGGAGCCGACGGAGGCAGAGGTGGAGGATGAGGGTGAGGTGGTGGAGGTAGCGGCAACCACACCTTCTGCCCCCGGGGTAGTGGGTTCTGTGTCCATGTCGCTGTCGTCCTGGGAAGAATAAAAAAAATTAAATCAAGGTAGAAGGCTTCAGGTGGTGGCAGATACCCTTACATTATGGCACAGGCTAGTGTACTTTCTCGGAATATGCTTATGTTATTAACGGTATATTATAGTCTACAATACATCTTTATATTATGATCCAAATGAGTAGATGGATTATCTTCGGCACACGACAAGGGCATTTGTTTCCAAGAGCTTGAGCGAGTTCAACAATGGCCATAAACCCATTATTTTATCCAAAGGAATTAGGGCGTCCAAAGCTGCAACACTGACTTACCACACCTACAGCCCTGACTTACACACCTGCAGCCTTGACTTATACACCTGCAGCTCTCACCTACGACAACTGCAGCTCTGACCTACGACAGCTGCAGCTCTCACCTACGACAGCTGCAGCTCTCACCTACGACAGCTGCAGCTCAAATTTTGTCACGGGGTTTGTACTGGACACAGGGTTACTGAATGTTGATGCACCGATTAAATTTATTACATCACTTAAATTGTCTACTGGTCAAGAAATTTGCCTACCAAATTTCAGTCATCAAACCCAAGGTGAAGGAGAGACATTCAGCTATATTTTGTTGGGTGGACGAAACAGAAAAAAAGGCAATGTTTTCCTGCCGTTGACATAAAAATATCTCATAATGATAACATATAGGTTGGTCATATAACGGATTTTAGACTTACGGATGAAATTAATGATGTATTGTCCTAACAGCCTGTTGCTGCAGATCACACCTCGCTACATCATCTAGGCCGGGTCTATCAAGCGGGAACCAAGGAGTTAAATTGACAACTTAATTCCCGGGAAAGTGTTCGGAAATGTGATTATCAGTGTGTCAGTGCACTCAGTTGTAGAGTTCATTAGTACATATTATTGGACAATTATTTTAGCGTATCAAAAAAATTATTTGGAATACAATCACTTTGTTTGGTTACATTATTATTATCTGAATTATAATGGAAATTGTAGGTATTGGAAAGGAGTCATTTTAACATTATTAATATTTTCATTGGGGAAATTTATGGTATCCTATTTTGGGATTTAAATGTGCACCTAAACAGTTTGTACGGTATGTCAATCGTCGAGTCTGTTGGCTAAGTGAAGTACTTCATATATACAAAGCAATGATTAATCATGGAGTAGAGTATCCAAAGAATCAGCATATGTGATGAGATACTCTCGTGTTTATTCCACCAAGAAACACGCGCCAACCAGCTGACGGAGTGTAAACAAAATGACGAGTGAAGCCCTGGAAGTTACGTGGCCACAGTCAGACATTATTTTTCTTACAGGATTTTTGTATATCTGTTAAATCTTCAATAGTCACTAAACATGAGTGCTCTCTGAACAGTAAGAGATAACGATAATTTATACTGTAATCTTGTCTTCCTTTTTATCCATCACCACTCACCACACTCAACTCCTTCCACCCCTCACCTCTTATCTACCTACCCATCCCTACACTACAACCTACATCTCCCATCACCGACCTCACATCAACATCTCCCATCACCCCTCATATCTCCACCTCCCATTACCCCATTACCCAAGACAATGCAGGTAACATACACACCTCCTGCCATTAAACATCATGCAGATTATTGATGCAAAATTTGTTCACGGAATAGGAAGTTTATCAGCCTGGCAGTATGAAAGCATTCACTCATTATACTTGTAGAAATGGCAACCGGCAATGGGAAATTTCTCTCGGGCGGGATAAGAAAAATTTGTAGGCTCTTATTGCTGTTAAAGATAGCCAGATCGTCCACTGCACACTCGGAGGGGCAGATCTTGAATATCTTCAACCTTGTAGTCAAAAAGAAACAGACAACTGTATAATCACGCATACTTATGTTGCAGTGAGTGAGGGAGCCCAGAGAGTCTTGATACGATCAGTAGACACAGATGTGTAAGTTCTCGCGCTCTTGCGAATGTTGAAAAGCTGAGACTCCTGCACCAAGAAAACGAAATACAGACACTTGGCTGTTTGATCCATTTACATGATACAATACAGTCTCTAGCTTCTGCAGAAAAGAGTAAAAAAACAGCATGGAATGTGTGTTGGGAATTCGTTGACGTATCGCAGGCTAAATAACCTTCTCCAACAGCCCAGAGAACACCCACTGTATAGATCGCCTCAAGTTATTTGTTTTCCTATACTATGACAGCAAGTAAAATGACTACAGTAAATGAGATCAGAGTGGTCCCGGTATCACGGGATAGGGCTTCAGGTAGCATCCCTCCTAGACAGGCAGCTAATCATCAGAAAATCCTCACAACTGTATATAATGGTGAACATATATGGGGGTAAATAGCAGATGCCAGCTTTAACCTGTCAAGTCCTGTGCTGGCTGCATGTGGATGGAAGAGGGAGGAAGATACTGGCAGCCAATGTGAACAACCTGATACCGTCAGACGATTCTGATTTACGTTCAAACCATTTATAAACTTTAGAAAATATTTTATTTAAACGAGGAATATTCATAATTATTTAAATCATCTTTACAAGTGATCATTAGATTTACTTAAGCGAGATCAGATAACTTTCGAAACGTAAGGTAATGACTTATGAATAATATATTTATATCAGAACATAAATACATTGATGTATTGTACCAAGTAGAGGATTATTAGCTTTATAAGTTACTTGATAAATGTTGTTAACAGTTTTATTAAGGTTCTATGTTTGTCAATAAACTTAAACAGAACAAACTCATGATCTGTTTACCTGCTTCGCGCCTTTTTTTTAAAACTTGAACGAGATTTTTATTTTTATTCTGAATCTTTGTGCTTAAGCGTGTGTTAAGTTTAAAATAAAATTAGTTTTCCTTCTGCGGCAAAGTTTATAAGAAAATGCTGAAGAACAAGAATAACTTAAAGACGCAACTGCTCTCTGACCCCTGGCGCCGCGCCATGTGTTAAGCACACACCTGACACTCAGGTGATGAGCGGGAGTGGTGTTACGTGTGTCGCTAATACGACTAACTGTTAAGAGCTCTTACACAATACCAGGTGTCATATATTTGATTGTGGGAAATGTTTGGTCGTTGTAGTGATCAATCTACACGTTCACTCTAATTCGTATTGGTGGTGATGAAATTAGACTCGTAATGTACCAAAATTAAACTATTCAATTTGGTATAGAAAACACCAGCTATCAAAAGGTGATGCCTGTGCTCTAATATCATGACTTCTGCAGACCAAGAAGGATGTACAAGACTTCAACTAGAATTCTAGATCCTGCAACTTATTTGGTAGGTTACCGACTAGGGAGATATCAGACAAGTGTTGATGTCATATTATATTCACCGAGGCGTCTCCTTCCTAAAATCTGAAGATAAATGAAGCGGGATGGTTTTACCTGAGTGAAGTTGCACTGTAGTGGCGATAGTCCGAGTTTTAAAAGAGATTTGGTAGACAGTGGTTCTTTAGAAGGGGATATCAAGAGAAAAGTTTAGTGTAGAGTCACGTACTGTAGGTCCTGATAAAATTGATGTTTTCATTTTCACTTTCGATCCCTAAGTTGTCATCTGGCACCGAAGCTTCTTATCACTCGTCATAGTTTCAAGTAAGTTGTGTTTTATTTTCTCATACGAATACACTTTATACAGTACATCACAGGGCAACTATGTGCGTCTCCAACACCGAGAACTGCACCCAATGCCTCACCTACACGTTCACCTCAACACGCCCACCTCTATACTCATCTCCACGCCCCCACACCTGCTTTAAGGTCACCTTCATGCTCCACCTCAACACCTCCTGGCAAGTAGTGTAATGCCAACAGGTCACGCCACCCACGCAGTGTCGACCACGCCCGCCTCCATGTAGCAGTGCCCACTATCATACGTCAACACCCATCTCCATATATATCCACACACATATCCCCATACACCCACGTCCATGTATATAAGTCCATCTGCACGCATCGAAGTCCCCCCCCCCCTTCCAAATTGTTTAAATCATTTTTATGAATATGTTAAAATAAAGTATACATCAGTAAATAATGTATACCTGTACCTGGAGACTCAGTGGCAGGGGTGGGGGGTGCGACAAACGCCACTTTTACCTTGACAAGTCTTTGGCGTGAACACTATTAATATCTCTGGTATAGAATGTGCGGTGTCTTACTCTTGATGTCTTTATATTCATCTCGTTTCTTCTCGGTGACTACGGACACGAATAAACATAACGAGAAATTCTTTATACGTTTTTTTTTTGAAATGTGAAAGTTATGTATTTTATTGTGACAAATATCAACAAGATATGTTCTTGGACTAAGTGTTATCGTCCTAAGAAATAGTCTCTCACACACCTCATCCTTACAAGACGTATACAGTACATAGGTGTATGGCAGTGAACGGCGAGTGTCTGCCACCTTCACCCTCTATAAACACTACAATTATGATATAACTAACTCCTCACGTTTTAAGTTAGCTCAGTTAAATAAGCCATTGTGCAATTGAATATTAAATTCTTAGTACAGTATATTCTCTGTACTTCATGGTATTTGGTGGGTGGCAGAGGAAACACAAGCGAACGTTAGGAATTTTCCTTTTGACATGCATCTCTTCAGCGGAATCATATTTATTTGATATCTCTTATCGATATTTTCCGGTTTAGATTAAGAAGTCTGATGATATGAACTTCCTGATTAACCTGTGAGAAAAGTACCAAAACTGTTTATCAAAACTATTAATTATACCCCCCATGAGTCAGCTGACACAAATTATTGTATAATATATATCATATTCCGAGCATTTAAGTTCTTTTTACATTTCTGCCTACTTTGAAATATTATGTCTTGCGCTATTAAATTAAATAAACTTGATAAACTACTCTAAATGTATGAAAAATATGAACTTGAAAATATTTAATACTAAGTAAAATAACTTCGCCTCGTCACCTGGGAACATAATACAATATTTGTGGCAAGTGCAGCCGACCTGTAACTTTGTTTCTTGTGTTACCACAATTATAAGTTCAAGTTTTCACTGGTTAGTTATTAAATCCTTGCTTACGTATTGTACATCTATAAGAAGTTCGCTAAAGTACAAGTCAAGCTCTCACTAGGCAATCCCAAAGTATTTCTGAGGGTAGCAGTTGGTGGCAGTATATATCAGCTCTCGTCAGCCACCCCCTGCAGAGGATTGATTTTCATGAACACATTCATAAACCACAGAGCAAAAAACACACCAGGCGTCATGCAGCAGTGGCACACCTTGTCCAGTGAGACTCGCGTTTGTCATAAATTGTAATAATTTTTGGAGTCCTAACTATTACTAATATCAATTTCCCATCAAGTTCATCGCCTCTCATCACAATAATACGTTCCCCGGGATGGAAAAGGGTACAATCACCTTTATTCATGAATTATGACGAATTATCGGTCGCGGTGATATCGAATACGAAAACATTTTGGTTATTTGGGATATTTTCCTCTTTTTTTTCCAAGTCTGGCGAAAAAGATACTCTTAAGACAATTTTCAGTGAATAATAAAACTAAGAAACATTAGATCAAAACTTGTGTTAGCGCGAGTATTATCGAGGCCAACTTTAAATAAAGTATTGTAAAAATAAAGCTACATGTCTATGAACATTTTCATTTTATTAATAATGCTATACTGTATCCCCAGTTGTACAGTTCACCGTTAAAGTAATTTATGTAGGAGAGAACAAGCTAGGTTAGGGTGTGCTTCGTTACTTTAAATATTCTGGAGCCACTTGGTCACTAGACCAATGGCGGGAAACAATGTGGGACCTGTAGCTCGCCAGCCCTGGTGGGTATAGATGCCGAAGTCTATCCTCGCAATATTCAATCCTGCATTTATTTCTCTGTACAGTATGCACACGGAGCCTGCCAAAGGCTTGAGATGCGCATCTGATGAATATTCCTCGATGTCCGCGGGGGTGGACAGGTGGGAGCCAAGGTACTGAAAGTAGGTAACATTAGAGAGAATAATACGGTTAAGCTGGAGAGATGGTGGAGGTATGGCTGAACCAGGGGCAGGTTGAAAGAGAATCACGCGAATCGAGCAGTCGTCATCCCCACCCTGCTGTATGGCAGCGAGACATGGGTCACATACAGGAGGCGCCTCGAGGAACTTGAAAACTTTAACCAACGTAGTCTACGTTCCATCCTCCGAGTTCGCTGGGAAGACAAGAGAACAAATGCCAGTATTCTCGTTGACACCAACTGTACGAGCATCGAGGCTATCATTATCCGTGAACAACTACGTTGGACTGGCCATGTTACCCGCATGGATGACAGTAGATTGCCAAAGCAGCTACTTTACAGTCACTTAATCAATGGTAAACGTAACGCTGGCGGACAACGGAAAAGGTATAAGGATAGTCTTAGTACAAACCTGAAAATGTGCCAGATCGACCCCTTCACCTAGGAGACGATTACTCCACACCGTAACGTTTGGAGGAGCACCACACGAGAAGGTGTCAATACTTTCGAATTAGCCCGACTACATACCGAGGCAGACAAGCGCTAGCGCCAGAAAGACGCTGTCGCCGCCCCTCCCGCACTAGATGTAGCCTTCCACACATGCAATATCTGTGGACGACCCTGCCGATCCTGTATCGGCCTCTCGAGTCACCTCAGAGCTCACCAACGAAGGTGACATCCTTAATAACTCAGAGCTCACCAACGAAGGTGACATCCTTAATAACTCATATCATTGTATAATAGCTGGATGATCGTCATGCTCGATTCCGAGTGACAACAAAGTAGTAGTAGTAGTAGTAGTAGTAGTAGTAGTAGTGTGTGTGTGTGTGTGTGTGTGTGTACAGTCAACAACAAAGCTTTCTGCACCTTTACGGTGTTATACAATATGACACAAGGGACCAAAAATTCTGACAAACATACGGGTTTTATATGTAAATTAGTATTAATTACTCTGCATTAACCGTGCGTGATATACATCGTACCGGTTACAAAATGCATTACACAATCAGAAGTACCAACATGACCTCAGTCAGTGATCGTTGCAACTTGCAAAGGACGTCAGACCCAGAGGTGCATATTAGTTTTTTGCTGACTGTACCTGCCAACTTGTACACATGAGTGGGGACCAGGCCTCGTCAGTGTGTATACCGTGGATAAACACCAGTCGGGTTGAGGAAACGAGCGGCGGGAGACCACATTGTTCCTCACAGCCTAGGGAAGATTCTCAAATTTTCCCTTGACGATGATCCAAACATGTGGAGGCAGTATTTCCCTGTCTCTATTACCTTTTCACAAAAAACAAGGCTCACGGGAAGGTATGGAGCACATGGTGTTCACCCTTCGTCGAGTAGCTCCTGCGACACTAACGCCAAACATCTTCACCAGTCTTCTGCCACTCCAGCCCTGGTTAATGTTACTGGTGCGCTCCTTGATGATGGCACTTCTCAAACATACTTACCTACACTCGCCCCAGTTAACTTATAGACACACTTACACCCATACACCTCAGTGAAGCAATATCCACAGGTGCATCTATTCACTTCAGCTAATAGGAACACCTCAACTGACACCCATACCTACAACTAACCGCACACCAGGTAACTAATATGTTTGGTCTACACTGTAACATTGTCTGGTCTACACTGTAACATTATGTCTGGTCTACATTGTAACATTATGTCTGTCCTACACAGTAACATTATGTTTGGTCTACACTGTAACATTTTGTCTGTTCTACACTGTAGCATTATGTCTGGTCTTCACTGTAACATTGTTTGGTCTACACTGTAACATTGTCTGGTCTACATTGTAACATTATGTCTGGTCTACACTGTAACATTATGTTTGGTCTACACTGTAACACAATGTTCGGTCTACACTATAACATTATGTTTGGTTCTACACTGTAACATTATGTCTGATCTACACTGTAACATTATGTCTGGTCTTCACTGTAACATTATGTTTGGTTTACAATGTAACATTATATTTGGTCTGTAAAATTGTTTGGTCTACACTGTAACATTGTCTGGTCTACACTGTAACATTATGTCTGGTCTACACTAATATTATGCCTGATCTACAGTACACTGCAACATTGTCTGGTCTACATTGTAAAATTATGTTTGGTCTACATTGTAACATTAAGTCTTTGTCTACACTGTAACATTATGTCTGGTCTACACTAACAATATGTCTGGTCTACACTGCAATGTTATAATATCTAATCTACACTGTAACGCTCTGTCTGGACTACACTGTAACACTTGAGTTACATAAATCTCGCCAATATAGAATTCTCTTACCAGCGTTACAACTCATATTGACGAAATCGCAGGTAAATTTATGTGTCGTCAAAATCTGGTGTTTGCGTGCACCAGGTGTGTGTTATTGGCGCTGTACCCGCGGCCTGGTGTGTAACAGGAGGCCGGGCATCGTATTGCACTTAGAGGACTGGTGGTTTGTTGTACCCTGAGTATGCCTGAAAGTTTTATTGTATACTGTTATGGTATTGACGTCACCAAGTCTATAATGTACACACACACACACACACACTACTACGTACATTAACCACACACATGCCAGCTATACACACTGTTAAACGCAATAAATATACACTAATTAGACTGCCTCACACACAGACTATACACATTACTATACACATAATACTACTTACAAGCTATTGGAACTATACACACAAATACAAACACTAATTACTCACTATTACACACAACATCTACGTAATATTGTACAGTATACAGTCACAATTAGTATACACCCTATTACACACACACTAAACCCACACTGCTACACCTACTAAGTATAAATTCTATACACACTAACTACACACTAATTCACACAATAACCAGACACTCATACACACACACTGTCTACACCTAATGGGCATATTAACTACACATTTTACTACACGTTATTACATATACTTCAGTAACGAGTGACTTACACTCTAACAATACATACTGAAGTGCATGTGCTGTATCCACTCAAACATCGCATCTTTTACTTCATACAATAACTACATCAATAACACTAAATCATTCACGAGGTCACTTGTATCACTATACATTCAATAGCTCTACATTATGTGTTGTGGCCATTTCAACATATATCATATCTGTTCTCACTTGTGTCATCGTATTTAAATAGCTCTATATCGTGGTTATGGTCACTTGTGTGTCATCATACATCAATAACTTAACATTATGTGTTATGGTCACTTGTGTGTCATCATACATCAGTATAGATCAACATTATTTTGGTAGACCTAACCCCACCCTATCAGATACTGTGAAATCAACCTTACGCCAGCTGCCTCTCCCTCGGGCTGACGGTACAGGTGTATAGGGTTGCCCCCTGCCGCCTGCCTGCCTGGGTTGTGTTGAACACATACTGTGACGCCACTGTGTAGTGTCCACATAACCATCACACAAATACACTCGTCCTAGAAATCTGAGAAATTATCGCCAATAAGGACAAGGAACTCATCTCCGTTTGTCTTATTGTTTGTTTGTCTGTCTCACTGGTCTGAACAGTTAGTTTGTTTATAATTGTTACAATGTGAACATCTACAGTATCTTAAGTTAAGGTCGGTCATGAAGGCCCATGACTTAAAACGTCATTTCCATGCCTCTTCATGCTCCCTTATGTTTTTGGGTGCGAGTAATTAGCTTTCATAGGTATTTCTTCACACTCTTTCAGTGACTCGGTTAATTTCTGCTTGTGTATATGTGATTTTTTGTGTGTATGATTGTGTATGTACCGAGTATGATAATTGTGTGAATAGTGGAGAAGCGGTGAGTAGTGCCTCACCACCGAGAACAGCGTCCTTGCTTGTGTCGCTGGCTTTACACACAGCGGCAGCGGGTTTAATATACACTCAATAGTTGGGTGAGAGGATGGGCGCTGGCGGCACAAAAACACTCACCTTGTCGTGGTGGGCGGCGGGGTTTGCCCTGGGTCTGGGCGGCAGGTCGGCACGGAAAGGCTCGAGCGGCGGGGCGGGCTGGGCGTCCTCAGCATGAAGGACCTCCATGAGGTAGGCGATGTAAGAGGTGGCGAGGCGCAGGGTCTTGATCTTGGAGAGTTTGGTGTCGGAGGGCACGTTAGGGATGCACTCCCTTAGCTCGGCGAAGGCGTTGTTGATGCTCTGCGTTCTTCGCCGCTCCTTCTTGTTAGCTGAGGTCTTGCGACGCACGACGCGACCATAAGAGTCGATCAGTTCGTCGCCGTCCCAATAGTGTGGGGGACATGGCGGCAAAACACTCCCGTCGGCGTAGGTGACGAGAGGAGGAGGGGGCGGCGGCGCGCTCTGGGGCCCGCAGAAGTCAGGCGTGTGGTGGTGGTAGTGATGGTGGTGATGATGGGGATGAGCCGGCCACTGTGGCGGCGGAGGTGGAGGGTACGCGCAGTAGGGGTAACCTGGCCACCCGCCCTCACACCCTGATGACATTGTCCAGACTCCCGCCAAACACACCAAAACACCTGAGCTACCACGTGGGGCGGAACCCTGGGCTGGAACTTACCGGGTGACGTCACAAGAGGGGAGGGGCTTCCTCCTTACGTCACCCAGGAGGTGTGGCTATTATGGAGCGGACCGAGAGGAGGAGGAGCATCTTAAGCCAATGTGGGAGGAGCGTGACGTAAGGGGTGGGGCTTGATATATTACGTCACAGGAGAGGAAGTCATGGAGGGTCCGAGGCAGTGGGGAGAGACAGACGTCAACTAGACGGATCACAAGATGTGTCTTTCGCGAATCCTGGTCTGTTGTCACGCTAGTGTTATTAAAATATTGTAACTGCCGCTAGTGTGGAAGTACAGTATGTCCAGTCCATAGCTGCTAAGTCTTTGCTTAACAGCAAAAATATGTTAATGTTTTCCGTTTACAATGGATAAATAAGATAAGTAGTTAGATCCTGTATGTTTTACTATACTGTACATTTCTACAGGACATGCACTGTACAGGATGTTGTTCATGGGTTTAGATTGAGGTGATTCACTGTCAGCAATATGAAGCAATAAGAACAAGTATTATTACCTTATATTTTAAAGATTCAGATCAACAGAGACCCACACAAACCTTACTATTCATAAGTTGTAAACGATTGTTTTAGGCTACAATCCTGTATATTGTGCATAAGTATATGTGGAAACTTTCAAGTAAGGGATCATATCAATATGAGTTTATTGATATACTATTTTTTTTTATTCTACCTCCTTCATGTAACATATATTCTAGATATACATATATAGTCATGTATGTATATGCATTGTATAAGCAAGTTTTATATATATAAATATATATATATATATATATATATATATATATATATATATATATATATATATATATATATATATATATATATATATATATATATATATATGCAGCTTTTATCAACCTACTGTATGTATTGCTTATCAATCTTTACATCGTTTAACAATACAAGTAATATTCATCCATCAATGTAAAGTTTATCAATTCAACTAACGATTAACAAAGTAAGTGACGTTTAAGAATGTAAGTAGCGCTAATCATTTTAACTAGCGTTTATCTATTTAATATTTATCCATCTATATAATGTTTATCAATATACATAGCGATTCTCAATATATAGAAGTTAGAACATTTATCACTAACTTTTATCAACCATTTGCCACAGGGAATTATTTGCCATTTGTTTCTATTTAGCTTTCATTAATTTATGTATCGTTTATTAATCTATGTAGCGTTCAATAAACTATATAGTGTTTAAACTGAAGTGTTACTGAGTGATAAAAGGAAAAAACATATTTTGTGTCTACATCTGCGGCAGACTGTATCAAACTCTAGAATTAAAATGGGTCTCACTTTAACACATCCTGGTCGCTCATCTTTAACAATATTCTGGAAGTCAATCCTCCTAAAATATGTTGATCATCCAGTAATACAAAGATGATTGGAATTTTTTTAAGTGTCGTTTTAGGTGAGCCCCTTAATGGTGGTCTCGAGGGGTTAAAACGGGATCGACAGAGTTGAATGTGTGAAGGGTAATATCTAGTGCGAAAAGGGTAATGGCAGTGTCTGTCAGGCACTGGCTCTTGTCTTCATGCATGCCTCGGCGTGGAGTCGATCAACCTCGAAGGTTTTTACATCCTCCCACGCGGTATTTTTCCTCCAAGAGTCACAGTTGGGGTGATTACCTCCCAGGTGCGACTGTCGACTTGGGGACAATTGTAGCCTTCTTGAGTGTATCTATCTCTTCCTGGTGCCCGTCAGCAGTAAGTTTCTCATTCTTTAGATAGCTGTAGAGTAGCTGCTTTAGTAATCTATTGTCGCTCATGCAGGTAACGTGATCAGTCCAAAGTAGATGGGCCTGGATAATGTCGGCCTTGATGCTCCTACAGTTGGTGTCAGCAAGGATGCTGGCATATGTTCTCCTGTCTTACCAGCGCACTCGGAGGATCGATCAGAGGACCCAGAGGCCACGTTAGTGGAAAGTCTCAAACACCTTGAACTGTCGCCTGCATGTGATCGATGTTCCACACAGGATGGGGAAGACCACTGCTCATTAGACGAGCAATTTTGTTGATAGTTTTAACTCCCTACAACTGATGATACGGACTTTGTCACGATGATGATGAATTATGGTGGATAACCAATACACAGAGAGTCTAGAATCTAAAGGGTTTACCTGCTGGCGGACAGCAAAGGTCATATTGGTAGTACTGTGAGATGGTCTAAACTCTAAACCCACATTGTGACACAGGGAAGACTTTTTTATCACAAGAAAGACTCCATTAAGGAGGACGCGGGCGAGAATCCTTCTAGCTATATGGGCAACAGAGAGAGATCCAATTATAACTGCCATTGTCCGATCTGTTGATAACGGCAGCATCTTTAAGGCCTTGAGAAACTTCTTCCTCTTCCAGGACATACTCCATATATCTCCATACACCTTTTTGTTACAAGAGGTTTTCTTTTCTTATGGAGCGTTCGCCCGTGTCAGTAATCAGAGGGGTTCTAACAATCCATGCTGCTACTATTAAAGGTTCTGTAGCCAATTTTGATATTTGCTACTTATTTATGTAGTTTCTGACCATACTAGGGATGATACTATACTTGGTGCGGCTACTCTGTCAGGAGAGATAGTAAACAGGCTATGTTTAGAGCATCTTTCCTAGCCCCTTCCCTGTGCAAGGTGACTAGAGTGGCTCCTGAATAGAGCTGTTCAGTCACAATGACGCGACTGGACTGCATCGCCACCTAAATCCTAGTACATAAATTAACATCTTATCCGTGCGGCCTTCATGCAGATTTGCGACTAGAGAATACCAGTAGTTACAGCATTCCCTATAGCAGGTAGTGTATCGCCATAGGACTTTTTGGAAGAAATAATGAAAATGGTGAGTGAGATGATGTGGATGATACCTGCATGTGAAATAATTAATGTGGTCAAGCAGGTGTGCCAGTTGGCCTCACTCATCTTGGTTCTCACTTTTTTTATCTAAAATTGCAGGTATAAGGTAAGTGCAACAACTAGGGAGAAGAGTTTGTTGGGTTCTGCCTTAGCAGCACGTCCACCGTGTGTTGACTTCATCCACTAGTGTAGTCCTTAGGTTCTCGTGTATTCTGTCTTTGACTTGCAAATGCCCTTGCTGCCGCTTTAAGATGCATAGCCCTCGGCAATGGGTTTCAGGAGTTGGCAGAATTGTATCTGCCCATAAGCTGCCTTAAAGGACCTACGATAGCTTTCTCTCTGGGTTTTCTTGTACAGTGTTTCATTTAAACATCAATACATTTGAGTAATGCAACCATTATTATTTCAGCAATAGAAATTTCCTTTCTTTTTATACGGAAGCCGCATTCTGAATTAATTGCATAAAAACCTCGGCTCTATTGTATGTCTAATGGTTCTTCTAAGGTCATCCCACATTATTGTTTATTCTTCTCAGGTGTCCTTTATATTTTACGATGGATCTCTTATCTACATATCCAGCATCATATCTGACAATAACCCCACACACCCTGGTTAGACAACAACACTTTATTCATATGAAGCTTTAAGAGAAGTAACACTTGCCTATCTGAATCTCCGGTCGGCCAGTTATATTGTATTCTAAAGCTTCCACCACGCTACTATTACTACTACTTTGCTGTCACTCGGAATCGAGTATGACGATCATCCAGCTATGATAAAACGATGTGAGTTATTAAGGATGTCACCTTCGTTGGTGAGCTCTGAGGTGACTAGAGAGACCGATACGGGACCTGCAGGGTCGTTCACAGATGTTGCACATATGGAGGGCTACATCTAGTGAGGGAGGGGCGGCGGCACTTGTCTGACTCGTTTTGCAGTCGGGCTAACTCGAAAGTATTGACACCTCGTGTGGTGCTTCTCCAAGCGTTACGGTGTGGAGTAATCGTCTCCCAGGTGAAGGGGTCGATTTGGCACTTTTTCAGGTTTGTCTTAAGACTATCCTTATACCTTTTCAGTTGCCCGCCAGCGTTACGTTTACTATTCGTTAGGTGACCGCACAGTAGCTGCTTTGGCAGCCTATACAGGTCGTCCATGCGGGTAACATGGCCAGTCCAGCGGCGTTGTTCATGGATAATGGTAGCCTCGATGCTCCTACAGTTGGTATCAGCGAGAATACTGGCATTTTTTCTCTTGTCTTCCCAGCGAGCTCGGAGGATGGAACGTAGACTACGTAGGTGCAAGTTTTCAAGTGCCTTGAGGTGCCTCCTGTAAGTGACCCATGTCTCGCTGCTATAATTAGGGTGGGGAGGACCACTGCTCGATATACATGTAACTTTGTAGATAATTTCAGCTCCCTTCAGCTGAAGACACGGGTAAGGAGTCTGCCAAAGGCTTGAGATGCACATCTGATCCGATGTTGAATCTTTTCATCGATGTCCGCTGTGGTGGACAGGTGGGAGCCGAGATACCGAAAGTGGGTAACATTAGTGAGGGTAGTACTGTTAAGCTGGATGGATGGTAGAGGTGTGGCTGAACCAGGGGCAGGCTGAAAGAGAATCTGAGTCTTACTTACATTCATCTCAAGGCCGAAATATGGATACGCATCTGCGTAGGTGTTCAGGATTTCCTGTAGGTCGCGTTCAGTGTGAGAGACAAGGGTGAGGTCGTCTGCATACTGAAGCTCAGTAATGGAAGCTGCCGACACCTTTGTTCCTGACTGGAGTCGTCTTATGTTGAAAAGACTCTTCATCTGGTACTGGATGTCCACCCCACCGGCTAAATTGGCACTGGCACGAATAAGGAAGGCAGCCAAGAAAATGGAAAAGAGAGTTGGCGCCACCATGCACGCATACACGCACGAACGCACCCACACACACTCTTTTTCTGAAGGATAGGCTAAATGCCACTACTATCCAGAACGTCCAGCAAATACACGTTTTTCTTAATGGTCCTTAAGCGTCCTACAAATACAAGTATAGCCATGTTTACCAAA